ACTGCCCTGCGACCAAACAGAAAAAGCGTAGTTGACGCGCCCAGGCTCGGAGGAGCACTGGCCTGAACAAAGGAGGAGGGCGAGTCATCGGGAGAATGGGGCGAAAGGGAAGAGGGGATATCCACATCCTCCGACGAGGCGGCGGGGCAGATAGGGCGACGAGGCACGCACACACTCACAACCAGCAGCTCCAACATGGGTGAGCGGGGTGGAACTGGGCTCCGGACCTGGAGGCTCTCCCCGGGTCCACGGAGTGGAAGCAGCGCTGATATAGAACACTAAGCAGCAGTTGATGGAACATTGGTTGATCAAGTGCCAGTTGTGACACATACAGTTAAGGTGCTGAAGTAAAGACCACTCTGGGCTCAGGAGGGGCTCTGATGTCTGGGCCGTTCATTGGATTTGGGTCGGGAAGCCCATCCGTGACCGCGGCTCGCCGTAGCCAGAAACGCTTCCTCGCTCCTCATCTGGCGTTCCTAATGTCCTAATGGCAGCGCGTCGATGGTATGCTGTGCCTTATCTGGCGTTTCTAACGGCGGCGTTCCGACTGTATGTGTAACATGTATGTGTGTATGTGTGTATGCGTGTATGTGTGTATGTATGTATGTATGTATGTATGCATGTATGTATGTATGGATGTATGTATGCATGTATGTATGTATGTATGTATGTATGTATGCATGCATGTATGTATGTATGTATATATATATATATGTATGTATATATGTGTGTATATATGTGTGCATGTACACGCGCATGTATGTGTATATGTGTGCATGTATATATGTGTGTGTATGTATGTATGTATGTATGCATGCATGCATGCATGCATGCATGTATGTATGCATGCATGCATGCATGCATGTATGTATGTATGTACATGTGCATGTACATATACATGTACATGTACATGTATATGTACATGTATATGTATATGTGTATGTGTATGTGTATGTGTATGTGTATGTATATGTATATGTATATATAAATATGTATATGTATATGCATGTATGTATGTATGCATGCATACATGCATGTATGTATGTAGGTATGTTTGGTTTGTTTGTTTGTGTGTATGCATGTATGGATGTGTGGATGTATGGATATATGGATGTATGTATGTATGAATGTACGGACGTATGTATGTATGTATGTATGTATGTACGTATGTATGTATGCATGTATGTGTGCATGCATGTATGTATGGATGTATGTATGTATGTATGTATGTATGAATGTATGTATGTATTTATGCATGTATGTATGCATGCATGTATGCATGTGTGTATGTATGTATGTATGTATGTATGTATGTATGTATGTACGTACGTACGTACGTACGTACGTACGTATGTATGTATGTATGTATGTATGTATGTATGTATGTATGTATGTATTTACGTCTGTCTGTCTGCCTGCCTGCCTGCCTGCTTGTCTGTCTGTCTGTCTGTCTGTCTCTGTCGGTCTGCCCGTATGTCAGGTATGTCTGTCTGCCTGCCTGTCTGCCTATTTGTCTGTCTGTCTTTCCGTGTGTATGTATGCATGTATGCACGCATGCATGTATGTATGCATGCATGCATGCATGTATATCTGTATGAGTGTGTATATTTGTCTGTCTGTCTGTCTGTCTGCCTGCCTGCCTGCCTGCCTGTCTGTCTGTCTGTATGTCTGCTTGTCTGTCTGTCTGTCTGTCTCTGTCCGTATATGAGACCGGAGAACAACCCCAATCAAAGTCTTTTGAGGGCCATAGGGCTATGGGGCTTTAGGGCTATATGGCGATGGGGCTATGGGGCTATAGGGCTATGGAACTCTAGGGCCTTAGGGCTATAGGGCTATAGTGCCATAGGGCAATGGGGCCATAGGGCTATAGAGCTGTAGGGCTCTAGGGCTGTGGGGCTATGGGGCTCTGGGGCTATGGGGCCATAGGGCTATCGGGCCATGGAGCTATGAGTCTGTATGGCTATGGGGCTGTAGGGGTATAGGATCATAGGGCTATAAGGATTTAGGGCTATGGAACTATCGTGCTATAGGGCTAAAGGCATATAGAGCTATAGGACTATGGGGCTATAGGGCAATAAGGCTATAGAACTATAGGGCAATCTGACTATGTGGCTATAGGGCTCTAGGGCTATAGAGCTCTAGGGTTATTAGGCTATAGGCTATAGAGCTATAGGGCTATAGGGCTGTAGGGCTCTGGGGCTCTGGGGCCATAGGGCTACAGGGCTATAGGTCTATGAACTTTCAGGGCTATAAGGCACCCAGGCACCCAGGCACCCGGGCGGGCCGCAGAATTCGGCGGCAAAGCTCACCTAACCATATGAATCCGCGAGGACCCCTACAGATGAAAGCTCTGATTGGGGAATGTATGTATGTATGGATGGATGCATGTATGTGTGTATGTGTGCATGTCTGTCTGTCTGCCTGCCTGCCTGCCTGCATGCCTGCCTGCCTGTCAACCTGTGTGTCTGTCTGTCTGTCTGTCTGTCTGTCTGTCTGTCTGTCTGTCTGTCTGTCTGTCCGTATGTGTATGTATATATGTATATGATACCGGAGAAAAAACCTAGCTCGAAGTATTGTTAGGGCTACGGGTCTATTGGGATACATATATATATATATATATATGTAAATATATATAGGACAATGGGGCTATAGGGCAATGGAACTATAGGGCTATGGGGTCATAGGGCTATAGGTCTATTGGGCTTTAAGGCCATAGGGCTATAGGGCTGCAGGGCTGTAGGGCTACGGGGCTATGATGCTCTGGGGAGTTTGGCCTATAGGGCTATAGGGCCATAGGGCTATGCATATATAGGGCTATGGGGCTACAGCGCCATAGGGTTTATAGGGCTGTAGGGAGGGATATAGGTCTATGAGGCTATAGGGCTATAGACATAGAGCCATAGGGCTACAAGGCTATAAAACTATAAAACACCCTGGCACCTGGACACCCGGGCACCTGGGCACCCGGGCGGGCCGCGGAAATCGGCGGCAAAGCTCACCCAACTACGTGAATCCACTAGGACCCCTACAGAGGCAAGCTCTGAATGGGGAATGTATGTATGTATGCATGTATGCATGTATGTATGGATGTATGTATGTCTGTCGCTCTGTATGTATGCATGTATGTATAGGTGTATGCATGCAGCACGTATATGTGTAATCATGCTTGTATCTTCGTATGCATGCATGCGTGCATGCATGTGTAGATCTGAGCACACGTATATACACATCTATTTCTGTGTGTATACATATGTATGTGTATATGTATACGTCTACGGGCCGATGCCGATGTTTCTGAAGCACGAATCGCCGTTGATGGGTCCCTGCTCCTGGCGGCCCCAAGGGCCCAGGAGGCCCCCCCCCCCCCCCCCCCCCCATCCCCCCCATCCCACCACATGCCCCCCCATGGGGCCTGTTTACTCTTTCTTTGCAAGGGGAGTGCCCAGAGGAGGCGGCGCCAGGGGCCTCTCCAGGACCTGCCCCTCTCCCGGAAAGGAACCGCCCCCTCCCGTATGCCACCCCTACCTCCCCCTCCTGAGGGCGAGCGGGGTGCTTCTGTTCTGCTGCTCTCTCCCTCCTGCTCTGCTCTGTCCTGAGTCCACCTCCTCCTCCCCCCGCCCTCTCCTCCTCCTTCCTCTTTCCTCCTCCTCTCCACCGCCCTCCTACCTCCTCCTTCCTCTCTTCTCCCCCCTCCCCCCTCCTCCTCCTCTACTCCTCCTTGTCCTCCTCCTCCTCCTTCTCCTTCCTTCTCCTCTCCTTCCTCCTCCCCCTCTTCCGTTTCCCCCTTCTCCTCTACCTCCTCTCTCCTCCTCTCCTTTCTCCTGTCCTCCTCTTTCTCCTGTCCTCCTCCTCCTCCTCCTCCTCCTCCTCCTCCTCCTCCTCCTCCTCCTCCTCCTCCTCCTCCTCCTCCTCCTCCTCCTCCTCCTCCTCCTCCTCCCCCTCCTCCCCCGGGGTGGAAGTGGATGTGGTTTGAGTATCGCGCCGCGTCGCTGGCGATGCATCGGCGACGTCGGCGATACATCTGCGACGTTGTGGTAGAGAAAATTGGGTCCCACATCGAGCCGCTTCGTCGATGCGGCGCGATCCTCCGACCCAGCCTTGGGTCTGGCACGCCCGAAACGGATACATAACAAATGAGTACGATGCCCAACAGCAAATGATGTCCCACATCGACGGCTGTCACTGTTGGGCAGGCGACTGTTGATCTCAAGCGGACAACGTCCACAGGGGCCGACAGCGAGGCCTGTTCAACTTGGGCAGAAACTTAGAGGCTTTCTAGATGGGATCGGAGTAGATGGGGTCGGAGGATCGCGCCGCATCGGCGATGCATCACCGATGCATCGGCGATGCATCGGCGCCGTCGGCGCGGAGAAACTCGGGCTCCACATCGAGCCGCATTGCCGGCACATCGGCGACGCGGCGCGATCCTCCGACCCCATCTACTCTGACCCCATCTGGGAGGCCTACAGTCGGCCCGTATCATAAGGATGCGCGATAAGGATTCAAGGGCTTTGGACGCCCATTTCGAAGCTTTTCGAGCGGGGGGGCGGCCGCCGAAAGTGGCCGAGGATGGGCCGAAGGGACAAGGATGCAACCCTTGGGAAGGTTGCCCATCCTTACCATGCGGGTCGACTGTACTCTGACCCCATCTGGGAGGCCTAGTGAACTGCTGTTGGCCTTTGTCCGCATTTGAGCAGGGACCACCCGTCCCGGCTTTCCTATAGGACTACCCCCAAATTTCCGTAGAACCCAAAAAGCGTTCGAAGGACAAAAACCATGTTCTTAGAACATACACGCGATGTGGTCAAACAAGACGGTCTCAGCCAGAAATGCTCCAAAGAACATCTCGTGCAGACCATAGAAGGCTCTTAGAACATTCTTTGGTGGGCCTTTAGGCGAGCCAGGACGCTTCGCCACTGCTTGACTCATTTTTTACGTATATCGTATATCCATGCCGATCGTACCGAGGAGGCACGCGCGCGCGGGCACGCCCAGCGCACCGGTCTGATCATGCCCTGCCGTCCGTCGGAGGTCCGCCACATCAGCTGGTGGTCGAGGACCTGGGGCGCCGGGGCCGGGCAAGCGGTGCGGCCGTTTTATCAGCGGCGTGGTCGGGATCCCTTCCTCCTCCTCCTCCTCCCCCTCCTCCTCGTCCTCCTCCTCCTCCTCCTCCTCCTCCTCCTTACTCTCCTCCTCCTCCTGCTCCTCCTCCTCCTCCTCCGTCTCCTTCTCCTCCTCCTCCTCCTCCTCCTCCTCCTCCTCCTCCTCCTCTTGGGCGGGGCTCGGCATCTAAACTGGGCGGCGAGCGAGGGGGGGAAGCGAGAAGGAAGAGGCCCTCTCAGAAGGCGGAGGGGCCTCTCAGCGGCCCTCGCGCCTCCTGAGAGGTGTCCTGTGTCTTCGGGGAAGGCTCAGACAGCTCCTCGGAAGGCCGGGGGGGGACTTCCGAGCCTTTCGAGCAGGTCCGCCCCCTGCCGACTCCCCCCCCTGGCTCGCAGCCGAAACACCAGCGGCGCGGCCCGGAGCGCGGCGCGCGGCCATCCTGCCCCAGAGGCCTCCCAAGTGGGGTCGGAGTTCGGAGCATCGCGCCGCATCCTCGACGCATCCCCGGTGCATCGGCGACGCATCGGCGACGTCGGCAAATGCGCTGGCGCCGTCGGCGCGGAGAAAGTCGGGCTCCACATCGAGCCGCATTTTCGCCGCGGCGATGCGGCGCGATCCTCCGACCGCCTCTACTCCGCCACTATCTAGGAGGCCCCGATACCTCTCCCCAAGTTCACCGCGCGACGCACTGCGGCAAAGCACAGGAGGGACGAAACATGCCTCTAGGCCCAAAAGACCACTCGGCCTACCCCGTACCCTATTCGGTTCATTTCCGATACGGGCATTGGCTGCACAGAGGAATTCCTTCTGAAAGAACGAGAGTTGGAGGGTTCTGACCTGGCTGGGACCCTAACAGATCAGCCAGGAGGAAGGGGGGATGAGGCCAAACCTACTCAAAATCAGTACCCTGACCCCTCCTGGGGTCCATCTGGTGTTGTTTTCCACCCTGGACCCGGCTTTCACGGCCCCAAGGCTCGAACATGCACCTCGAAGGCCCAAAGAGGGATAAACGACTTCCCGAGCCCAGAACCCCAAACCTGCCCGCCCTTCCTGCTGGCTGGAACCAGCGCTGGGGTCACCTCCGACCCCTCACCGACCAACCTCGCCTACAATGTCATGCCGCACCACGTCGTCACGGACCGCCCGGTTTGCCTGCGCCTGTGGTGGCAGCGCGGCCGGCGCGGCCCACAGCGTCGTGTTTTTTTTGTCCCCCTCCCTCTCTCTCTCGACGCGGACATCCAGATGCCTCGACCCCGTACCCTCGGGCGTTGATGAAGGGGGGGCGATTGCGGGGGAGCGAAGAAACGTGCAAATTTCGTGCGCCCTTCATCCCACAGAAGTGCGCGAGAAGCGCACATCGCTTCACCCCCCCATTTATCGCCCCCCCATGACGCACCGCCCGACCAACTGTCTCGACCCCTTGCCCGAGACCGCTTTTTCGTCCGAGTTGTCTCGTGACACTCCCGGGGCCTGGGCCGAACATGGCACACGCAGCACTTTCGCCGTGCCCTTTTCGTGGGCGCGCAAACATGGGTTAGCGATCCATGGATTTGGCGCGCGGTCGCCAAATCCATGGATCGGGGGAGGTGCCCTCCCCAAAATGCGGCCGGTGCCGCCTCGTTCGGCGGCGGAAATCACGATTCACCATGTAAACGGGACCCGTCGCTAATCCACGCCCCTCTGATCCATGTCTGCGATCGCCTGACTTTTCCGCCACGCGGGGAAGCGGGGTCCCCCAGCCCCTTCACCCTTCCGCTCCGGCCCCCCACGCCCCAGAGGTGGTAGCAGCCGCGAGGGAGGCGGCGCCTCGACCCCGTGCCTGGTGAGGTCCTCGGGGCGCGGTGCTCCCGCGGAAGCTTCAGCTCTGCTGCTCCTCATCCTCCTCCTCCCTCTCCTCCTCCTCCTCCTCCGCCTCCTCCTCCGCCTCCTCCTCCTCCTCCTCCTCCTCCTCCTCCTCCTCCTCTCGGGGGCTTCGCAGATCGTGGGCCGAGGCACGCGCGCGGCCCAAGAGGGGGAGCCAGGGGGTGCGTGGACACAAGAACGGGCGTCGCGACATCTGGGGAGATACCATGGCCCTGGCCATGATGTCCGCCGCGCCTGGTCATACAGGAGGAGGAGGAGGAGGAGGAGGAGGAGGAGGGAGGAGATAGGAGGAGGAGGAGGGGGGAGGAGGAGGAGGAGGAGGAGGAGGAGGAGGAGGAGGAGGAGGAGGAGGAGAGGAGGAGTTTGAGGAGGAGGAGGAGGAGGAGAAGGAGGAGGAGGAGGCGGAGGAGGAGGAGGAAGAGGAGGAGGAGGAGGAGGAGGAGGCGGAGGAGGAGGAGGAGGGAGGAGGAGGGAGAAGGAGGGAGAAGGAGGAGGAGGAGGAGGAGGAGGAGGAGGAGAAGGAGGAGGAGGAGGAGGAGGAGGAGGAAGAGAACGAGGATGAGAACGAGAACGCAGAGACGTAAGACTCGGGAGGCCAGCCACAAGAAACCTGCCACAAGAAACCCAACCCTGCAACCCCATGACGTCCATGGACTTCTGGCGTGGGAACGCCACGCTCTCCGTGGCAAAATCATCGAAACCCAAGAAACCCCGGGGTAGCATGGAGGCAAGGAAGTTGTTTAATTTGCATGGGCTTCCACTGTGAAGCCCCCCTCCTGGACGCCCCCGATCCTCGCATGCTTTATTGGCCTAACTACCACGACATGTCTTCGGAGCAGAAGAACTGGTAACAGTTACAGGCAACGTTCAGACATAAACCCGATTGATTAAAACAAGACGATCTCATCCAGAAGTGTCTTAAGAACGTGTCTCGCACTAACCGCAGCACGGTTCTCAGACAAGTCTTTGGTGGGCCCCAGAGGCAGGACGCTCCACCCCTGCTAGATAAGTCTGACATCTCTCAGAGCTGGTGGGCCAGGCAGATCTGTCGGGCGCCCCAGCCGATCCAGAGCGCTCTGGCTCGTCCTGAGAGCGTTCCTCTCTGTGCTCAGCCTGCCCGGCTCTTCCCCTCCCATCGGCATCCACGGCGACGACAGAAGCAAAACCGACCGAACCAGCAGCGAAACTCAGACCGATGGACCGGACACAGCCTGAAGGACGCAGCTGCGCAGCAGCCGCCCCAACTGGACCGACCGAGAGCCGCCGACTACGAAGCAAACCGAACGACCGGACAACGGACATCCTTGGTGATCCTCTTCGTCTGGCTTCTGGGCCATAGCCAGGGTCTTCGGCGGCCGTTCGGGATGACTCTAGCACCCCGGGAACGCTTCCTGCGAGGCGTAGCTGCTGGAAGCCATCTCAAGGCTGGCAAACCGCCCATAACCAACAACAGCTCGAAAACCTCGAATCTCGCGTCGTCTTCCTCCTATTCCTCTTCCTCCTCCTGCTGTCGTCAGCGGCCGCAAGGTCCACGAAATTATCCAGGATGCGGCTGTGCGACCCCCCTCCTCTGTGGGGGGGCGGCCTCGGAGTCCGTCTTGCGCCCAGCTCCTCCGCCCCCCTCCGCCCTTCGATCTTGAAATTTGGGGAAGCGCACTGAGTTGGATTCCGACACCGCGTGGATCGTTCAATATCAAACAACGGCCGTGGCTTTCCAACAGGCCAGATCGTTCAACATCCGCCGATCTGGGGCCACTGGCGATGTTCAGCCTTGCGCGCCAGCGCGTCATGTATCTCTGTGGCCTACGCCAAAGCCTCGACCAGAGGCAAGAGTGACCCTAGGAATGAGTGACCTTTGGTGCACGGCTGTGAAAGGGCGGGATGGGCCCGAATCCAAGCGCGCAGGCCGATGCTGGGGCCACCGGTGCGGCCCCTTCTAGGTCACTCCGGCGAAGGGCCACTCTTACGCATCGCCGAAAACTGGCGGGCTGGCCGCCCAGTAGATAGAAGGCCGGCCCAGCCTCGCCTGCACCTGCCCTCTTCCGCGGGGAGGAGGGGGAGGACGAGGAGGAGTAGGACTAGGAGGACGAGGGCGACGACGATGAGGACGAAGGCGACGACGAGGACGACGATGAGGACACCAGGACGAAGACGAGGAGGAGGTTGTGGAGTGAGTGAGAGTGAGAGACCACCGAGACGCGGTCGAGCGTGGTCATCCGCGCCCGAAGCACTCAGCCGCCCGCGCAACCCGCGGGCGAAGAGGCGCGCCTCTGCGCGAAGCAGGGATGAGGGCCCCCACCAACAGGGGGACATGGTGGGTTCGACCCCCGGCCCGTGGTGAGGCACCACGGCCAGCGGCCTGGCCAGCGGCCCGCCCCACAGGCCACCTGGCCTGACCGCCTCAGCCGCGCTGCCCGCGGCGGGCGGGCGGTGGCCCCGCGACCCGCCGAACCAGCTCGCCGAAGGACATGGCGCCCAGCGTCGGCAGCGGCTGGGCGGCCGCGGCGCCCCGCGCGGACGTGGGTCGCAGCGCCGCTCCCCAGCCGTGCCGCACGCCCTGCCGCGAGGGGCCTGCAGGTCGCTGGGCCGCCCCTCGGCGCCGCTTCCAGCTCCTCCGCTGGGCCTCGCGCCAGTAGGGGGGCCCCCAGCGGGTTGCGCACCGTCGCCAGGTGGAGCTCGCCCATCAGCGTCATCGTGTCGCCCGGGCTGGTGCGCCGACGAGGGTGCGCCGAGCTCGTCGAGACGCACCTCGCAATCGGCTCCGCCCTCGAGCAGATCAGGAAGGTCTGCGTCGTCATGCTTCACGATGTGGCGCAGCTGCCGTGGCCTGATGGGCCCAGCAGCGTGCAGGGGTACTGTGGCTCGGGAAGGCGCGCCGCTCCTCGGGCGAGCTGTGTCATTGTTGGCAGCTATGGCGAGCCCGTCCTCCGAAACCGTCGGCTCGTCTTGCTGAGCGCCACTGGCCTGATCGCTGCCGCAGCCGCTCTGGCTCCCTTCCAGGGGCGCCCCCGCGCAGCGTCCCGAAGGCGCCCCTCCAGCAGCCCGGCTGGCAGCGACAGGGCCCGCGGCCAGCGCCGGCGACGGCTCGGAGGTCAAGGTGTCTGCAGAACTGGCGGCCCCTGCGGCGTCGGCCTGCGCGGGCGGGGGCTGGCGGCCTTCGCGGCCGCGGCCGTCGCTTTAGGGAAGGCCGCCGCGCGTGCGACCTGGGGCCCCTTCCTCCGCGGGACATCCAATGCCTCGAGGTCCTCCAGCCCGGCGTCGGGTTCGGCGTCGCAGCCGTCGCCGCCCTGGACCTGCGAGCTCGCGGGCCCCGCCTTGGGCCAGAGTCCTCGCGCAAGTCTCCCGAGGCACTCCAACCCTGCGGCCGTGGGCGGCCCGCGCGGCAGCAGGAGGCCTCGGCGCGGCGCGCGAAGCCCAGGCCAAGCGAAGCAGCCGCAGTGGCGGCGGGCCCATGCGCCCCGAGCCACCATCAGCAGCATCTGGTGGGAGGCGCGGACGTCGCAGTCGCCGACGTGCAGCTGCACCGCCTCGCCAGTGGGCTGCGTGGCCAGCTGCGCCCAGCCGTCGCCGATCGTCTCGAGCCCGCGGCGCGGGCTGCGCAACCGCGGCGCTCGGCTTGCGCGGCCCGCCGAGCGACGTCGCGCGCAGCTCCTCCCGCCCTCGCGCAACGAGTGGGGGGCGCTGAACGCCGCGGCCAGGCTCGGCCCGGGAGGCGCTCGGCGCGCGGGCGCCCGCCCGCGGCAGCGCGGGCGCCCGGCAGCGGCGGCGGCAGCCGACGCGTCCAGGGTGGCGAGCAGGAGCCTCCAGCGCACAAGTGAGGCAAGTTGCTCGGCGGCCTCGACCATCTGGCGCACCTCCCGCCAGAGCACCCGCCACCGCGTTGCCCCGAACCGCGGCGAGCGGCGCCCCGCGCTCCAGCGCCTCCTCGACAATGAGGTACGAATTCGCGTGCTCCACTGTGAAGTCGCTCCTGTGGCGACGGCTGAAGATGACGTCGAGCTCGCGCCGCAGGTCGGCGCCCAAGCCCTCGGGGCGTCGGTCGCGCCGCTTCCTTCCAGCACCCCTCGCAGACCGCGAGGCTGTCGGCGAGGAGAACTGTGGGCCCGTGCGAGTGCGCCGCCGCCAGCGCCAATGCTTGCAACTCCCCGCGGTGTGCCGTCTGTTTGGACGCCCGAAATGGGCGCGGGAAACACGGGTACAATGCCCAACAACAAATGTTGTCCTAAACCAACAGCAGCCGCTGATGGGCAGGCGGCCTTCTGTCTCCAATGGGCACAGGCCGCGGCGGCGCGGACAGCGAGTCCTGTTCAAAATGAACGGGAATTGCTGCTTGACATTGTATCCATTCTTTCCGCGCCCGTGTCGTTCGTGCCGAGTCTGGCGCCGCCCAGCGAGAGGACCGAAGACGGCGTGCGCGACCTCGCACACCTCGGGGGCAGCACTGCAGACAGCAGCACCCGCTCGCCTGAGGCGTGGCGACTTGGAGTCGGCACCGCCGCTGGCGTCGCCGAACGGCGCCAGGGGAACGCTCGCAGCGCCCGTGCCCGGGCGAGGCTCACCCGATGCATCGCCGATGCAAGTCCAAGGGTTCATCACGGGGGGCTCGGGCACGTGCGCCCAAACAGCAGGCGGCGCGCCGCGAAGCCAGCAGCAGGGGAAGGCCGTGACTTCAGCATGCGTCCTCGCAATGAGGGTAGCGCTGAAATCATGGGCTTTGGACCCGCCGTTGGCCTCGCACTCCCAGATGCGATGCGCGGCCGTCTCCAGCGAGTGCCCGCAGCGCGGGCGCATGCAGGCGGCGTCCTCGCCCAGGCCGACGAGCCCGGCGACGCTCGCTCCAGGCCATGCGCCGCCCGTCGCGATGGTGACGTGGAGGGGAGCCAGGTGCTGATGCCGCGGCGTCGCCTCCAACATCTTCACCATGGCGCGTAACGGGGGCGCGTCGGCGCCGTGCTGCAAACCCTCGC